ATATATTTGTTAACAAAACTATATACATAATATGTAATTGAACTTATTATATGTATAATAAGTTATACATATAACCGAGCGTGACGTCACGCACACGTACGCGGTTCTCGCTTGTGTGCGTAGCATCGAGAAGCTGAGCGGTGGGGGCTCTGCCTAGGGATGGGCAAAAATCAAAAAAATGAAAAAAAAAGAAAATTGCAAATAATTTTTGTCGTATCATATGAAAATTATGGCAAATAAAGATCATGTGTGTAATCACATGTATAATACACAAAATAAAACCACTCATATATTAATTCCTTCTTTTTCCTTGCATCATTTCTACAAGTTCTTTTTTATAGAACTAAAGTCCTAGTTTAAGGCTGCTTTCCTTTTAAGAGACACAGTCGACACAAGTCGACACAAAAGTCATTCTGTCTTTGTTAAGTATTCAGTGAGAAACAAAGACAGAATGACTCTTGTGTCGACTGTGTCTCCTAAAAGGAAAGCAGCCTAAGAGAAAGAAATAATACAAATATAATTCATGTCGATTGCCTCGATACCTAGCGGTAATATTTGGAATTAATATGCATGAGTTTCTGTTGCAGATCGGCGGAATCAATAATTTGTTTAAATAAAATGTGTATAATTTGGAGTGTATAATTTATTTGAAAAAAAATGAATAATAACAATGTGCAAAAATATATGGCTAGCTTTTATATGTTTCAACATGTACAATATATTCGAAGAAGACGCATAATGATTACGATAAGAGCAAGGCGGCGAGCCTTATTACAACGCCTACTAAGGTTATGTTTAGAACAAAAATTTAATTTAATTTTTATGTGGAAAGTAATAACTAATTCAATACCTCCTCAACTTATTACGAGGGGTATACAATATAGAAGAATACGGATGAAAAAAAAAAAGTTACGAATTTTGGGAATCAATTGTGTTAAATCATTATACTGAATCGGAATGGCTCGAAAGCTTTCGAATGTCAAAAATAAGTTTCTTGAAATTGTGTGACTTACTCGAAGATGAATTACAACCCAAAATGCAATTTTTAAAAGCTAGAGAGACTGTATCTGTAAAAGAACAAGTTGCTATAGCTCTGTATAAAGTTGCTAGTTGTTCTGAGTACAGAGTAGTTGGGAATGTATTCGGAGTACATAAGTCAACAGTGAAAAAATGCTTTTATGAAGTTGTAAAAGCAATTAATAAAGTTATGGCTCCTGATTATATTATTATGCCAAATCAAGATGAAGCTAAATATATTGCAATGATATTTGAAAACGTGTCTCATATTCCTCAAATAATTGGTTGCATTGATGGAACACATATACCTATTACAGTACCAGAAGAAGGTTACAGAGATTTCGTCAATAGAAAAGAATGGGCATCTTACAATGTTCAAGCAATAGTTGATCATAATGGAAGGTAATTGAAAGATACAAATGTAAATACTAATCACATCTGCTGTGAAAATATATACAAACAATAATGATCTAGTAATAGATGCACATGATTCATAATGTTTAAATCTTATCTGTAACAGGTTTCGTAATGTTTTTGTCAAGCACCCTGGTAGTGTTCATGATGCTGTGGTTTTTCAAGATAGTACATTGTATAAACATTCACAAAAAATAATACCGCAGGTATTTCATCTTTTTTCTTTTCATCTTTTTTCTTAATTAAAACATATTATAAATTATGTATTTCTTGCTAATAAAAGAAACACATTTAATTTACTGTAGATGGAGTAACACGTAAATGGACAAGGAATACCCTTCATGATAGTAGGAGATCCAGCCTATCCACTTCTGCCATGGTTAATAAAGAATTATACTGGTGTGGTTTCACCTGAAGAAGAATCATTTAATGTCTATCTCAGTTCCGCAAGAGTTTCAATAGAATTGGCATTTGGAAGATTGAAAGCTAGATGGAGGATGTTACAAAAAAAAATGGAATGCAACTATAAATTTGTACCTCAAGTTATAGTTGCATGTTGTGTTCTGCACAACTTTTGTGAAGACAATAAAGACAGATTTCTTAATGAATGGTTGCAACAAATTATTCAGTTAGATAGAGTATTTGTGCAACCAAGACAACAAATAAATCGTGAACGAGATAGTGTACGTTCTACCATTATACGAGAATGTTTAAAAGATTACTTAGCTGCAAACTTTCCTCTCCGAAAAAGATTATTAAGATAAATAATTTTTTGTAAAAGAGAATTACTTTCTTCCTTAGATGTTACTTAAACCTAGTTCGAAAAAATTGATTTTAATTGTAAATAATATTCTTATTCTTTGTCATAATCAAGTTTATTTATTAATAAATGTTATAAAAATATATATGTATGTTTAAAATATATAAATATTATTAAATGTTTTTTATTTATTTATATAACATGTTATATTATTTTAAATATATACTTTAGTAAACGTAACATTTATAATACTTTGATTTTAGTATAAAAATATTAGCGTAACAATAAATCATCAAATAATACATTTAGATTTCAGTATAAAATAAACTTAAGAAAACTTTAAAAAACTTAATATATTATATATTTTGGTTTACACACACACACACACACACACACATTTTGTAATATATATACTTATATATTACTTTCAGTACGTGGTAATATTGCTTGTCAGTAACCTTCAACTTTTCATGTCTTTAACTACCCAGCAAACAAAATGATGGCAACGTGCCGGCATTATGCAAGCATGCTTTCCATGGCGTGCTGTCTCTGACTGCCAGATACAGGTCCATCTGGCAAGCATCGCGACGACACGTTATGCTCAACACTCTATGCGAGCTTTGTGTAAGCAGAATGCACTTCAGAATG